CTTCTCGAAGCTTCTCGTTCTTTTCTCCTTGTTTCCTCTGGATCTTCTTGTTCTACTTTGTTAGGAAGGTTTTCTTCTTGCTGTACTAATTTCTTTGGATTATCTCTTCTGGGCGGCTTTTTTAGAGCTGCAGTTGTGAGAGGTTTCGCGCTTGATTCTTTGTGAGAAGAAACAAAAGATGATTCAACTGATCTACATAATTGTGTAATAATCGGATTCGGGTTTGCTTCGGTTTTCATCAAAAGAGTTTTAATCATTCCGATCTTCTCCTCCGTCTTCGGGTGTCTGCTTTTCTGAGTTGCCATGGGAGCAGTCTTCTTTGACACCCTGAAATCTGCATCTTCAGGGGAATTAGTCATAATAGATGATGATCCAATTACTCCGCAACATTGTTTGGATTTAATAATGGCCCCCATGTTCTTCTCCTTCAACCTCTCTTTCATTAATGGATCTATTTCTGCCTTCTTTGACGCCCTGAAATCTTCATCTTCAGGGAAAGAAGTCATTATACTGGAAATTTTGCGCTTTCCGCTTGAAACAATTGAAGCAATTGACGAATTGGAGGAGGACAGAGTGTTCTTAGTATCATCATCCTCTGTTTCTTTCTCGTTATTATTGCTGTATAGAAACTTTCTTTGTTTAACAAATTCCTTCCGCAACGCTACCAATCTTCTCGGTCTGTTCTTTTCTTGTTTCTTATTCTTCCGACCCAGGTTCTCCGACGTCCGATTAACCTTCCTTGACTCTATATGCTTTTCTTCAACTGCTTTCTTAGAACCAGAAGATTCAGCCAATGTTCCAACATCATGATCATTGCACGGAGAATCAGTTTTTGATGATTTCCCCGGAGTTGTAGCCTCCTGATCAGGGTTCGGGTCATCAATTGCGGTGTTCTGGAGTTCCCTTCTCAACTGCCACGCCGGAGAATCATCCAACTCCCCGGCCGAGAAAATCCCTAAGTCCTTGAAGAATTGTTTGTCACTCCAGGTCAATTCCTGACTCAGAATCTCGTTCACCTCCAAATTCTCCGCCGCCGCAGCAGCAGCAGACCTCTTCTTCTTACTAGAAGATTTTGCAGCCATCTTCTTCTTCTTCAGACCAAAAACAAAGAACAATGAGAGAGAAATCGTGTTTCATGATCACCATATATATAATTATATGATCGTAAGTTTCCAATTTCCAAGTTGAACTTAGTTTTCGATTCGTACTAGGAATGTGGTTTCCAGGTTTAGTTCGTTGTTTCCTAATTTTAACTTCGTCAGTTTTACCCTATTTTTTCACCGTTGCACTTTCCTTTTATTAGTCGTTCATTGGAATTAAAACAGAGTCAAAACAGAGGAATCCCCTTGAATTCAAAACAGGGAATAACATCCCAAGCTACCATCAGTAGAAATTGAATAAACAACATAAATGCATCACATGTATGAACAACTTTCAAATTAATCACTGGAAAATTAGGGGTTCTGTAGACATCATAATACATTATAGATGGTCCAAAAAAAGAATAGTAGTACTATAAGATTAAAGAATGGACTGATCCTTCATAACAATTTTTCACCCTCAAAAAGGAGTACATGATAGTAGGCAAAACGCCTTGAAAGTTTGTTGCAGCAACTGCCTTAAAATATTTCGCCTTCTTCTAATTCCTCTGTAATGCAGCTTCTGCAACTTGAGTCATCATCGAAATAATACTGATCACTGTATTTACCCATCGAATCCGGACCAAATCCGTCGAAGACACAGCACCCCGTCAGCTCCATAAAATCTTGCATCACCTGAAAGTTGTCGTAAACGTCGGCGTTTTGCTCCATTAGTTCCAGGGCTTGTCGGGAAGCTTCTCTTTCTCTTCTCAGCCTTTCTGCTGCTTCCTTTGGATCTTCTACTTTTACTTCCTTTGGCAGTATCATGTTTGCTTCTTGTACTAATTTCTTCGGAGCATCTCTTCTGGGCGGCCTTTTCAAAGTCGCCGTGGTGGCAGGTTTCGCGACCGGAGCTCCAATTACTCCACAACATTGTTCAGATTTAATCATGCCTCCCATCTTCTTCTCCTTCAGATTCTCTTTCAATGGTTCATCTTTTACTGCTATCGGATTACTGGTTTTCAGAGTTGTCACCCGAGCTCTCTTCTTTGACGCCCGAAAATCTGCATCTTCGGGGGAAGTCTTAATGTTGCAAATTTTACGCTTTCTTCTTGTAGTAATTGAAGATTCGGAGCAGAACAGAGTGGTCTTAATAATATCATCATCCTCTGTTTCTTTCTCTTTATTCTTGCTGAGTGTTGCCTTTCTTTGGTCTGCTAAGAATTTCTTCCTAAGGGCTCCCACTCTGCTCGGATTCTTCTTTTCTTGTTTCTTACTCTTTGGGGCCAATTTCTCCGACGACCCATTAACTTTCCTTGGTACTTTCTTAGAATAAGAGTTCGGTTCAACCAAACATCCAACTTTGGCGGCAACCTTCGATGCTAATTGAACTTTCGCTGTGGATAATCTCAAATCCTTCTTCTTCTCAGAGATCATATCATCATGATCATCTTCTTTGCAATTAGGAGAACTAGTATTGGAAGATTTAATCAGATGATTCACCGTTGTACTTTGTGGGTTCCGATGATTCACCCCCGTATTCAGAAGAAGTTTCCTTCTCAACTCCCACGCCGGAAAATTGTCCAAATCTCCGGCTGAGAAAATCCCTAACTTCTTGAAGAGTTGTTTTTCACTCCAGGTCAATTCCTCACTCAGAATCTCATTCACCTCCACATAATTCTCCGATGAAGGATCAGCCATCGTCTTCTTCTTAATCGATGCCTCAACAGCCATCTTCTTCTTCTTCTTCTTCTTCTTCTTCTTCTTCTTCAGAGCAACAACAAATGAGAACAACGAGGAATCGAAATTAAGGTCAGGGAATTAGTCGTCCTTCACGCATGATCATTACATATATATAGCCATCCCAAGTTTCCAATTTCTGAGGTTTCCGATTCCAAGTAGGATTTCCCAGGTTCTATTTCTTGTTTCCTAATTTTAACTTCGTCAACTTTACGCTATTTTGTTACCGTTAAGCTTTCCTAATTTCGTTTGTTTTTTGAAAGGGTTTTTGTTTAATAATAGTTTACCAGTTCTCTAAAATTTTAAGCATTAATTACTCAATGAAAAAAAACGGCAATAATTACTTATTACTAAAACTCTAATTGATTTTCGTCATTATATATTTGACAAATTTTATAATTACTATACAATACTTCCAACCCCAACACAAGTACAACTCTGTTTTCAATTAAGACTAAAATTAACTTTTACCTCTTTCTTTAATTCATAATAATTACGAGTAACTTAATTTGGTGCTTGGCTTGGTGACACGTACGTAATTTTTTTTAATATATAAAATTGAAATAAACTTCCCCTTGTGTGCATATATGACCAACTGAATTCGGTACTTGGCTTGGTGACACGTACTTAATTGTTTTTCTTTTAATGTAAAAATGAAATAAACTACTAAATTGAAGACGCCCCTTTTGGACATTTATACTACTATTACTGAGAAAATCAACTATCACATTTGATGATTATGGGATGGAGGAAGTATTGATTAATATCTGTGATCTAGAATTTAACAAAAACAAAAATCATTAATTTTCAAAAGTTGATACAGACAGTTTTCAACAGAAAAATCTAATGAGTAGTAGAGAGAGCAACTTGAGAATAGAGAAAACATATAACTACATTCATGATCTTCAGTTCATTCTTACATTTGACTCAGGCTGATAAATTCCACTAAAACAGCCTAATTGATTAATTTCAGACAGCTGAATTTCTCTAGTTTCATGTGAAACAACACTAATGGCTCTTCTATTTGTAACAATAATATCTACACATTGTCCTTCTGGAATATCGACATTGTCGCTCACAGTTTCAGGGCTCTCCCCTGTCCCTGGCAACTCATTTGCGCTGTTTTCTCCTGATTCTCCCGCATCTTCATCACTGGATTGAGATTATTGAACTTTTGCGTTAGCCCTAAACATCATCAAATTTGAGCACTTAGTGCCGGAATCTTATACTGTGGCGGTGATACTTTGACCAACTGAGGTCTTAGAGCAGAAAACTGCTAACACCGTAGCTGAAATTACAATGATGAAGAGCCCTCCAAAACTGTATGGTGTCAGATGCGGATTTTCATGATTGATGGAGTTCAGATCAGAAGGATATCCTGTACCTAAATTCTTTTGCTCAATCGCAGTCATTGTTGAACTCTGAGTTACATTCAGGATTGCCCTGGAAAAGTAGCTAACCGGGGGGGAGCCCATTGGAAATGCCTTATTAACAAACATAAAAAAACACGAAAATGCAAAATTTTAAGTGGTTCAGAGGTGAAACATCCAAGATTCCTAGAGCGTTTTAGTAAGAGAACAGAAAACTCACAAATCCAAAGCCATCTGTTTTGTGTGTCGGTCCGACTATCCTGTATTGAGAACCGTATCTGTTGAGTATGAGCTTAACATAAGGGATATCTGCATAAATTGCATCAATGACACCCTTTTTACTTCCTAGACTCATCGCATGATGGTACTCTTGGATTGTTGTGTAGCTCTTCAACTTAGTCTTGTCCAAATGAAGTTCATTGATCAAGAAATCTTTGACGATAGAACCATGCTGGTAGCCTACGTTATAATCAGTTGAAAATGCAAAGTTCAACTGATCAACTGTGTAAATTGAAGACAATTTAGCTGTGTAAGTCTGCATAAATATGTATGCCGCGAAAAGCCATACGACCAGTATATACATCGACCACTTGTTAGCCACCATATTTCCTGTCAAGAGCAATACATATATCATATTTTCTCAATCATAACTGGTTTTGAGTGAAGATACTTAAAATTTGCTGAAAAGATAAGTACATACTTTCAGGGGGGGGAAAGAAGTGTACTTAATTTCAGGAAAGGCAAGAACTACAACTGGAAGCCAAAAGAAAAACTGACGCTCCCGTCTTTGTTGCATCGATGCGCTTGTGGCGTTGTCGTGGTTCTGACGCTCTAGGATGCCGAGAACAACACCTATGAAAATGCAAATCAATACTATAGTAAGCCAAAGATCCCACCTCAAAGGCTTCAAGAAGGTCCACATATCTATGGTCTTCTTGTTTTTTAGGACCATAACAACTCCTGATTCTGTATATGGTAGCGTAAAATTGACAGATTTGGATCGATTCACCAGAATTGCGATATCGCCCACCACAAAATCATAAGTCTGTTTATTCAAAAGAGTCAAAGTGTTACCTCAGATGAAACCTAAATGCAAATAAGAAAATGTATACTCTAACCTTAAATAAATGAACAAGTTCAGCACAAAAACCTTGTCAACTACCATCTGGAGCATGTCATTATAACTCCCATTGCAATCTCTACTAGCGTTCAAGTAAGGAACAACATAATCAAACCGGAAGGGTAATTGCAGTAGCGAATAGAGAAACACGTCGATAGATAGTCCACTGAAATTATACTGATTTGTCAAAGGATCTTTTTGTATCTTTACAAATTCAGTGAAACCATCTTTCGTGGGAACTCCAACTTTGAGCTTTCCACTTCTTGGAATATCCCAACCCTTGGGAGGAACTAATGTCTCTCGAGGCCACATTATGGCTCTTAAATCTTTCGTGGAAGTAGAATATGTTGGCGGACTTCCTGATATTGGCACGTCTTGTGCTATTCCTCTCTCTGGTGACCAATATCCTACTGTTCTATCGCCTGTTCCAATCAAATTAAATATCTCGAATGCTGAAGGTTGCAATTGTCCATCAACTTCTTGGAATTCTCCTGTCAAGCCTAACAATTTGGTGTTCAAGAGTTGAGACAATATTTTCGGGCCTAACTGGGAGAGTTTTATAGTTGAAATCTCACTTCTGTTTCCATGTTGGCTTGAATTCAGGAGATTTGACACTGAAGGCATAGATTTCTCGATGGCCATTACTAAGCCCCAAATTGTATCATAAGCACAGAAGCCATAAACATTCAACTCCATCACTGAACTTTCAGTTTATATCCAGGGTGGCTCTATTAGGCAAAATAGGCCATCACCTAGGCTCCGGAATCGGAAGGGCCCCCGAATATATATATATTATAAAAAAAAATTTAAGCTTATAAATATTGACCAATTATAGCCCACAAAAAAATACCACTCAACATTTATTGATTCACGTGTGTTTTATACTTCAGAATAATAGGGAAAGTAATTAAGTAAAATTAATAGTATTTTTTTTTTACAACAATACTGTTTTTGTAACTTCCTCCACTATTTAAATCCTAAATTATCTCAATTATATCCCACTAAATCCTACCCCAATCTTTTTAACTACCAAATCAATTATATGATTCCTTCCGTAAAATTTACATGATTCTTTTCCACAAAAAAAAAAGAGAGAGAGAGAGGAAACAACGTCTTTAAATTCATCATTTCTCATGTAGTCATCCCATCCGCACCACTTTAACATCTATAGCAATAGCTATCACTTTCTGGCTTTTTCTCCAAATTTCTCTAATCTTCTCAATTTATTTCCTTGTCACGTGATTCTATAAATTTTTTATCTTCTCTAATTTCTCCTTGAAATTTTATTTCCTCGAGTATTAAGTTGTTGTTCTTGGGCAGAAAGATAAATTGGTAAGATAATTTAGTTTTTCCCTTTCTTTATCTTTATGTTTTTATATGTAATTCAATCTTACGAAAAATTGCAATACGAACAATGAAGTGGAATCTCACTGGTTTTAGTTTCTGTTTTAATTAGTTTTTATAGAGTCGATTCAATTTTTAATTCAACTAACAACTCAAAACTAATCCTTATTTTCTTATTTTCTCAGGTTTGAGTTGAGGTTCAATTTCCTAGAGATTGGATTTCTTATAAGTCGTCTAATTATCAGTTTTTATTATTTTATCATTTTTTATTCTCAGTATTGATTTAAGTTGTAATAGTATTATTTTATTAATTTAGTCAGTTTATAGATTCTTAATTTTTTTTAGTGATGTCCACAAGAAAATGAATCTGGCCACTCAAAAAGAATTAAAAAAAGGAAACAAGAAGTTTTAATAGAATCACAAAGGGGGGGCATTGACTAAATTTTTGACAATAGAAAAGGATAAAGAAGAAAATCCATGTGAGTGCTTTTCAAATGCACAAAGTTATCCGGTAGATGCCATTGATAATGAAATGGTAGAGGAAAAAAATTAATTAGATAATCAAAGTAATCTTATAGATATTGATGGTGATGGTTCTGTAGAGGGAAAAGAAGAATTAGATAATCAAAATAATCCTTAAATGTTGATGATAATGAATTTGTGGAGGAAAAAGAAGAATTAAATAGTCAAAAGCCTAATGACAGTCTCGAAACTGATGATGATGTAGAAGATAAAATGTTTGAATTAAGTAATTCAACTCTTAAAAATATTTACGATCCAAGTCAATGAAAAAATATTGATATTAAATTAAGAGACTTGCTAGTAGAAAAGGGTCCAATTAAAATTGTAGATATAGATTTTCCAAAAACCAAAAATGGACATTTTACCTCTACTCATTATATTCAAAAGTTACCTAATGGAGAAAAACATGAGAGAAGATGGCTAATTTATTCTATAAATTTGGATAGGATTTTTTGCTTTTGTTGTAAATTGTTTGATGCTATTCTATGTGTAAGTAGGCTAGCAAACGAAGGTAGTAATGACTAGAAAAATATGAGCTCTATGCTCAAGAAACATGAAACAAGTAATGAACATTTTGTAAATATGAGTGCCTAGATTGATTTGGAAATGAGATTGAAAAAAAAAATAAAACAATAGATAAACATATTCAAGTTCAAATTAGTAAAGAGAAGGAACATTGGAAAAATGTATTAGTAAGAATTATTGCGGTTGTAAAATTTCTTGGCAAAAGAGGTTTAGCCTTTCATGGAAAGAATGAAAAAATTTACCAAGAAAATAATAGAAATTTTTTTAGTTTGATTGAGATGATTGCAGAATTTGATCCAATAATGCAAGAACATATTCGTCGAATCTTAAATAATGACATCCACAATCATTACCTAGGACATAACATGCAAAATGAGCTAATAAATTTGTTGGGGTTTGAAATCAAAAAAAAAAAATCGTAAACAAAGTTAAGGAAGCTAAGTATTTTTCAATCATACTTGATTGTACTCCTGATACAAGTCATCAAGAACAAATGTCAATAATATTAAGGTGTTTAGATATTTCATCAGATTATATAAAAGTTATGGAGTACTTTATAGAATTTTTGGAAGTAAATGATACAACTGGTAAAGGACTTTTTGATGCTATTGTGGATGAAATTAATAACATTGGACTTGATCTAAATGATATAAGAGGACAAAGTTATGATAATGGTTCTAATACGAAAGGAAAAAACCAAGGAGTGCAAAAAAGATTTTTAGATATTAATCCCATGTCGTTTTATACTCCATGCGGTAGTCACAGTTTAAATTTGGTATTTTGCAACATGGCCAATTCTTGTAACAAAGCCACTGAATTTTTTGGTGTGATACAACGTATATATACAATCTTTTCTTCATCCACCAAAAGGTGGCAAATCCTAAAAGAGCATTTACCAAAACTAACTCTTAAATCATTATCACAAACTCGTTGGGAAAGTCATGTTGAAAGTATTAGGGCAATAAGGTTTCAAACTTTAGAATTAAAAGATGCCTTATTAGCATTGTCTGATGTATCTAGTAGGGAGCCCCAAATTAAAAGTGAGGCTAAATGTTTAGCAACATATGAACTTAAGAATTTAGAATTTCTATTGGGAATGGTCATTTGGTTTGATGTATTGTATGCGGTTAATTCAGTTAGTAAAAATTTACAAGCAATAGATATTTGTATTGATGATGCTATAGAACAATTAAAAGGTCTCATTAGTTTTTTTGAAAAGTACAGAAACGATGGATTCGAAAATGTTATAATGTCTGCCAATGAAATTGCTATTAAGATGGATGTAGACCCTAAATTTGATGAAAAACGTAAAATTCAAAGAAACGGGTGATTTCATGAAAATGGGGAGAATGAAACTATTAAAACCCCTCAAGAGATTTTCAAAACTGATTATTTTCTTTATATAGTTGATAGAGCAGATTCGAAAATTTTAAAATGTACAAAAATATTTTTGGTTTTCTATTTAGTTTGAAAAAATTGAAATCACTTGATTACAAAAATTTAGAAAAAAGTTGTTTTAACCTTCAAAACTCGTTAAAACACAATGATAGTTTAGATATTGACGGTTTGGATTTATTTTATGAACTAAAAATTTTAAGAGAAAATATAAATGTTGAGAATAATAATCCAATAGATATACTTAATTATATTAAAAGACTTAATTCTTTTCCAAATGCTTATATTGCTTATAGGATAATGTTAACTATTCCCGTAACAGTTGCTTCAGCAGAAAAAAGTTTTTCAAAACTAAAAACAATAAAAAATTATTTAAGATCAACAATGTCACGAGATAGATTAAATGGATTGGCTATTATATTAATAGAAAATGACTTATTGGAAGAGATAGATCATGAACTTTCATAAAAGAATTTACAACAAAAAAGCTAGAAAAATAAATTTAATATAAGCAATACTTTAAAAAATGCTAGAAAGAAAAACTTAATATGAATAATATTTGGAAAAAACTTTTTTAACTCCGCCTGCTATAAGCTCACGGGTTTATAGTTGCCGGTCCCAAGCGCGAAAAAAGGAGGAGGATAAAATTTTTTTTTTCTTTTTTTAGTTTTTTTATTATTAAAAGGCCCCGATTTTAGAACTCGCCTTAGGCCCTCAAAAACGTTGAGCCGCCACTGGTTATATCAGAAGTGCATTCTTTTTCCACTCTGCCCTGAACTTCTCAAGGTTCTTGGATTTAGGTACATGAGGCCTGATCCCCACGACAGTTTCCATTGGCGAAGGATCGATAGAAGATAGAAAATTGGACATACTGTCAGTAATGAGCCATGCATATCCTTCACTCATCATTCCAGCTCTTCTTGCTAGTTCAAACAGTCTGTGTCCTAGTACAATATTCATATGCACCAGGAAAACTCTTGTTTGCTTTGGCATTAATGATTAAACTGCTGAGTTTGTTCGTGATTTCCCTATCCTTGCTTGATCTAGAGACAGCAACCGTGGATGCTAACCGAATATCAACTTCTTGGAATGCTTTAATCAAGTTGGAAACAAAAATGTTTGCATACTCAGTGTCCTCA